CCTCCGAAAAAGTAGCACAAAGCAGAGGAGGTCTCAGAGCAAAGAAGGATGAGGAAAACACATGAGAGGAGAAACATGTCAAGTTCCAGTGACAGAGAGAACAGGGATGCTGGAGGTGAGTACACCTCTGTTGTTCTGAGGAACAACAAGGACAACGGAGGGTCATAATCTGAAGAACTCAAGCAGAAGCTGAAGGGTGTTGGAGGAGCAAACTCAAGCAGAGGCAGGGCCTGAAAAAAGCCTCCACCAGCAAAGGAATCACAAGCAATCACAGCAACTGTCTTCCTCTTGCCAAATGCCTATGCTTTTCTTGATGAACCTCTTAGTCTGAAGACTTTTTCTGTTGTTTAAAATTCATTTACTTCATTTATGAGGTACAACTTTGTATTTTAAATGTACACAGAAAATTTGCCCTCAAAATGCCTTTTGCTGAAAATTAAAATACACCCATGAAATCTTATGATGCTGGCAACAGGGATTTTCTCTCTGTATGGGCACACATGTATGTTATGTGCACAAGCAGGTGCATGTGCACAAGTATACATGCATTCACATCTACGCTACAGCTTTTCTGCAAAAGGACTGTTCCCCAGTGTCCTCAAAGGGAGAACAGAAACAGGGGGGGCACACAATGCCGTCACACAGTCACACCATGCTCCTCCACTCCAACCTCAGAGACAGCCAGCACTGACATCAAAGTCCTGTCTTCCTGCAGGTCCTGTCTGGTCCTTCCCCTCTGCTGCAGGCACAGCTGCATCACCTCCTGGGCTGCAGCCACGGCTGGGACACGGGGCTGGGACACCCTGCCCTCGCACTGCTCCAGTGGCAGTGCCATCAGTTACAGAGGGGGAGAATGCTGTCTTCAGAGCCTGGGACACAACAAGGGAATTTTAAAAGGGCACTCAAGTTGGCATCAGGACTTATCAATAATGTTATGTTGAGTTAACATCACAACCCTGCTCCAGACTTGAGCTTGTTTCAGCACCTTGTCTTCCCACCCCAAGCGAATTTGCTGAGCGATTTTAAGAAACAGAAAAAAGGCTGTGACCAATTTTCAGGCCCTCTGATTTAGCCATTAAAAAAGAAAAATAAATCCTACAACATTTTCTTCCTGTTTTTCTAAATAAAAATAATGTATAGCCCTAACTTGATAATAAATATGCTCAAAAGCTGTCCTTAAGTAAAAGCTTTTGATAACAAATTGCCTGTGTTAACTGCTATTTTACTGTTGAATTTTTTATTGTTGCTTAAGCACTGCAATTATGCTAATAAGCCTGAGAGGATGGTACACTAAAGCATTGAATGTGACAGATATAATACTCAATAAAATGTTAATCTTACCTGAAAATTGGAATCAAACAGCCTTATTAGTATTTATGGATATGGCATCTCCAACATGTTTCTTAAGAGGAATACATATATGCAATAGATATTTCCAAATACACCCTGCTATTTCTCGCGCCTCCATACGATTTAACTCAAGGTGGCTATTAGCCCTGCTGCTAATTGCCAGTCCCTTTTGGAATAAGGAAAAAGAGTGTCGGTGTCTGGACTGTGCGTAACTCCTGTTTATCGGAGGGCTTTTCTCCCTGGCACGTCAAAGGCGGCAGCTATCCATGGGGATGGGGACACCTCTCCCCAGCTCATGGCAGGGCCACCAGGTAGGTGCAGCAGCACACAGCGAAGGCACCCTTCTGCCACCTTCAGTAATCTATTTTTACCATATCTCTACTTTTATGTGCAAGGCAGGTAAATCCAGCAAAGGTTTAAGTTATTTACAGGCATTGGAGAAATGGCTTTTAGAATTTAAGATGGGACTAAACACTAATTTATTTATTTTATTTTTGAGACGATGCTGACAAGGAACCAGACACATCTGTTTCACTGAAAGCTACAGCTTTGCAGAGTTGGACCCAGAGCCACAGGGCTGTCACAGGGGATCTGTCACTGAAGTGCCGCATGGTTTTCCACAAGTCACATTACATTTTGCACTGTTACTTCACGACCCAGCCCCAGTCTGCTTTCTCTATCGATGGCATAAATTTTTCAGAGAATGAGCTGCCTTTCACCACATGTAGCTTTTCTTTTTTTGGCCAAACCTACGGGTCTCAGACCCAGCCTTGGGGTTCCACTGCCATGCAGTCTCCTGTGTGTAAAACAAGTGGTCTTCAACACCTTCACTTTCTTCTCTATGCAAGGAGGAAGAAATAACCTCAGAAGAGCCACATGCTTCTCACATACTATACTTCCATCCATGACCACACTCTATAGAGAGACCATTTCTACACAACAGACTGGTGTGGGTTTCAAACACTGCAGGTTAATGCTTGAATAGCAGCTGCTGGCTCCCAGCTTCACTCCTCATGCTGCTCTCACCCACAGAAGTCAATTCTGCTGACAGGACAGCAGAAACATCGATAATCAGCATTATACTTTCTGACAGACAAGCAAAATTCTGGCCACTGGATGCTGCAAGACTCCTTGGTGGCAAACACTAGGTGGGAGACATCTAGGAACTATTTCCATGAACTGTCACAGCAGGGAAAACCCAACCAGCTGCCCACCAAAATCTGGGATTCCCAAAGCGCCCAAACACTCATAACAAGCAGCCCACAGGGCACTGCTCACAACACACCAGGACACGCTAGGACTTTCTTAAGCAACGCCTGCAGTGCACACTGGCTTGCACTCGGAGTGCAAGGATGGAAATGGGATGGCTTTGCATGACTCAGAGCTTAGAACAGCTCCACAAAACCTCGTTTACAGGCATAAGCAAGGAGTGCAGCATTAGGTATGAAAAAAAAAAAAAAAAAAGAATTTTTAGTTGCAAAATAAAAAAAAACTACTAAATGACTGACCTTGCACCTTGGGGAGCTAGGAGATGCATCCAGGGCTCCTCCGGCCCAAGGTAGCCCCAGCACGAGATGACAGACACCCAACCTTCAGGCGCAATCAGCAAGTTAACCAGGCACACAGCTGCGATGTGCTGTGGGACCGCAAGGCAACTGCTCCCATAAAGGTGGCAGGACTCATCTCTGCCATGTTAAGTGAGTCTTGTCATTACTCTCAACCCTGCAGGGAAATCTCAATTGAACTTTGGCATATTGTTTTCTTTTGCTAAGCAGCAACGCTTGAATGTTAACTCCAATCCTGACAAGCATATTTATGGAGTATTCTTTGCAAATAATCTTACCCTGACCAGCCTGAGAGGTCTGAATCACAAAAAAAATGATAACAACAATAAAAAAGCACAAGGCTGGAAAACCATCACTGCCATTGGCACAACCCCTCAACTTATTAACTGTCCTTGCAACAAGGTGAACTGCAAGGTCTTAGATTTATTTGATTGAGATCAAAAGATCAGGGGGCACACTGTATCTTTCCATGAACGTATTTTGCTTTCAAGATTTGAGCAGATAGCTGCAGGAATTGAAAAGCTCAACAAGAAAAAAAGAAAAAAAGAGGAAAAAACCCACATACAAAGGTGACTTCAGAAATGCATCCCCTTATTTCTCTCTTGACACCATCCACATTTCTTAAGAGTTATTTGAAAGTTTCTTCCATGTTCCCATACCCCTGGGACACAACAGCTTATCTCTGCTAAGCAGATGATGATAACAAACAATAAGACACTACTATAACTCCAGAGGGGACATCAGTATTTGCTGACATTAAGGATGAAAGATAAATATAAGAGAAACCAAAAGAATCCCAAACAAACTCCAACAGGAGACTGAAGAATTTCCCATTGGATTTTGGGTGTCCTATGTGACAGGACAGGTACCTCACTGTACTTCTTAATCAGATTGAGGAAGATGAAGCACCTGAACCCCATTCCTCTCATGATGAAGGCTCAGAGGCTGCCTGAGCCCAGGCAAGGTTTGTCATCTGCAGCTCCCAGGAGAGCGAGGAATAAGCAATGGAACTAAATGAGCAGCCATCTTCAGGACATAATTTCAAGACCCAGCTGGTAAGCCAGCATTTTTAAACACAGAAAAAGCCTGCTGCGTTTGCTGTTCAAGGCAGGACAAAGAAACACAATGGAGAACAGGAATAGAAGAACAAGAAAAGAAAAATTAAACTCTCCTCCATTTCATCCGCCCCTGGAAACAGAGAGAAAGCAATCACTTGGTTCCTCTGTGTTCCAACATGATATTTGTACTTTTCTCAGTATACCTGTATCTGTAGCGTTCTGTTTTCATGTCACAACAAAATAGATGAGATTACCCACCTGAGAGCAAGAGTAAAGCCTTTATATGGATCACAGAAGAGACACAAGCTCCCAGGAACTTGCTACAAAGGAACCAGAGTTGATACAACCTCCTGTTTTTATCACACGTTTACATTAGGTGGGAACAACAGAGGAACAACAGAGGATTAAACTCCTTTTCTGCTAGCTTACACTTCTCTCCAGATCACGATCACCATCCAGTTAAAGACACTGATCACCAGAGTTAACTGCTGTTGTATCAAAGCTCGTCATCAGACCAGGCAGCTTCTTTTGCACAAATACACTGAGCTTTGACTTTTACCTTACCAGTTTTGAATAAGGTTGCTGAGATAAGAATTTCACATGCTCCCATTTCTAACCATTGATGGGTTAAGAGGGCTCTCCAGAAGTCCATTTCTCCACCATATGGAAGGATCAGTTCTCCTAAAAGCATGTCTGCTAGAGCTATTCAGACTTCTTCTTAAGCCTTTCCAATGACCGAAACTGCTTAAGCTTCTTGGACGATCCGTTCCAGTGCTCAGCTATTCCTAATGCAGGAGATCATTTACTAATGTCTCATTTAGATTTCTCTTGTTACCACTTAAACTCATAATTTGTCTTATTTACAGCGGGCAGATTTACAGTTTATTCCCTCTCTCCACAACAAGCTCACTATTTCCAAAATTTACAAGCTGAGGCATCAGTGTGGCTTGCCCTCTCTTTGCCACTCTGATTCTGCTCAAAGCACTTTCTTCACCTTGTTTCTCTGAATGTGTATTTCTTTTCTTACCCCAAGAGACGGGCAGGTAGGATATCACAAGGCTGTTTCAGGAGAAGATGCACACATCCAAAGGCTGATGCATACAGGCACACACAGCATGCAGTTGTAAAGTACTCTGAAAGAAGAAAAAGAAATTATTTGTGTTTACGATGGTGGGCAGAGGGTCCAGTAGTAAAGGAAAACCCAACAGCTCTGAAGTGTAATTTCTTCCACCCCACTATTTAACATTCAAACAGATCTTCAAAAGCAACATCAATGACTATAGATACATCATGCGCCACCACTCAAACTTGGCCACGTTTTCTCTGACAATCACCATAAGTGTTTGATAAATCTGTGTTCTAGGAAACGAAGTGCTCACTGACTTTGTAGAAGGTCCTGTCAAGCTATAAGCAATACCCACCACACATCAAACATCAGATGGCTCCAACTCCAAAGCTTTATTCACTGTCACAGAGGACAAATCTTAATGTTTTCACTGGTGACAATATTTACAGCGTCACTGAAACCAACAGGGACACGACTTCTAGTCTGAGATTTGAGTGTGTATAATTATGGGATAGACCCAGAAAAGTAAGGTCTGAGGAAAGATTGAGTAACTTTTGTGTTCACAACACAGTCCTTGCCTCCCAATCTTCAGGATGTTCTATGTAGCAAAATGAAATCTTTCTCCTGAACACAAGGGCTTGGTGACACGAGAAAATAATAAAGAAAGGATTCACATGAGTGTGTTTTGAAACACAGGGAAGACCTCTGAATAACAAAAACATCCCAAATTTCATGAGAGAGAACAAGCAACAGGGGAGAGCAACAGTAATACATTTGCCATCTTACTTTTGGAGGCTCTCAGAAAAACAGAGCTAGATGGTAGCAATTTGCCACAACAGCATTTTTCACCAGTGGATCACCTTTTGCACCCCATCTTGTCTAAATTCCTGTTTCACCTTAGCAGGGGCTGCTGCTAGCCCCAAAGGATCAAGCAGCTTTGTAACAAATATGCCTTCTCCAAGGGCTGAAGCCAAGAAACACTTCATTTCCCACCTGCTGTGAAAACAAGATGCCTGTTGTACATCTAAGGATGCACCAGTGCAACAACTCAGTGCCCTCTCCATGCACCATCCATCTGACAATCCCTTTTGCTACTGCACTTTGTCCATCTCTAAGCTTCCACTTGGAAGGCTTTTGGTTTTTTTCCTTTGCAATCTTTCTCAGTCGCCCTGGACTTTTGCTTTCCTTGATCATTTCCACCCTTACCAATGCCAACACTTAACAGCCGGTCCAACTACTGTCAGCACAGGAAGGTGACATACTCCTATTTAGCGCAGATTTGATAACAGAAGTGCTGTTTCCAAGGCTAAAGAGGAATACCTGCACCAATAAATGTCCCTACAGCAACACACAGTAGCTGCAGAGATTGAGCAACAAATGCCTGCTGCTGAAGATGAAGAACTCAAAGTAAGCTCAGAATATATGATGGCCAACTAATAAGAGTTTAAATGCATGCTCATCTCTAAGGGTAAAAATAGCTCCAGAGACTTGAGCAAGATCATCTTCAGACGTGTTACCACCCAAAATACTACTGAGAAGAGGATGTTTAGCAAAGGAGAGAGATACAAGGAGTGTTTCCACCAAGAAAATACACCCGTTTCTATGGCTGAACTACAACAGCTGTTGAAAACCATGGAGTAGCGTTGAATGGCAGCTCAGGACAGGGAGCCAAGACGAGTACCACGTGCAACTGAAACTGCCAAGGGATTAAGTTAGGTCAAATGTAATTACACAAACTGGAACCTGGCCAGGGTACTGGCTGGTTTAAGAAAATTAAAAGAGGTGTTCAGAAGTTTCAGAGATGGAGTCCTCCTCCTGTTAATTATTTGGTGAGTCAGTCACTGCAGTCTCAGTACTCTGGGAGGCTGTCTGAAAAAGGGGAAAAAATGAGGCATAAACTTGAAAGGCATTAGAAGCGATTACCAAAAGCCTTTGTTCTCCATGGCAATCCTTGCTGCACTAGTGCACGAAAGCCTTTCATATTCATGCTGAAACGTGGCCTTAGTTCCTTTGATACTTCTGGGAGGAAGCGTTTAAATTTACAAATATCCCGCTGTCAGAAGTTACAGACAACAGTCGAGGAACTTTTGCGTATCCCAGCCAGATCATACACAGCTCTAAACCCAGTTCTCAGGCAGGCAGTGCTCCTGCTGAATGAAGGAATGCAAACAAGGACACATGGAAGCTCACCGAGACCTGGAGCAACGTCTACTCTACTTGCTAGCTGTGTGTGAAAGCCAGGTCATGTAGAAAAGGAGGATGCAACCATGTGAGACAGTGGCCTCACCTTCACGCAGATTTTGGAAGATGGGGAGCATGCAAGGCAAGCAATGGTGAGGAGACCAGAAAGGATGCTTTGTGGTCTGGCAGCTGAGCATCACTTTGAAAGGTTAGATCCCATTTATGCCTCTGCCATAAACCTCCTGAACAATAAGAGGAAAGTCACATATATCAATTTTTTCCCAGAGATTTATTTCTGTGCCTTTTCTGGTTAACTACAGACACAGAAAGACCGTGTCCAGAAGTGACAGGAACCAGCAGTCATGGATTGAGATTCTCCGTTCAATCTCTAATTGAAACTTGTACTATAACCATGTACAGCACTACAAAACATGAAGTGTTCTGAAAAAACAGGCATTATAAGTCTCAGTTTTGGCACCTGAAAATAGTAGATGCCTCCGCTACCTCTGCATCAGAAAATCATCATTAGAGATACACTCATTACTGTCTTTGAAGCAGTTGGATGAGACAGTAAAGCAGTACGGAATTCAAGATTAACCTTTTTAGGTAGCTTATTCAGTGAACTGTTCAGATGATGCACATTAAATAAACCAGTTTTTTGACTGATGTGAAGAAAACAGAAAGATTAAATAACTATCTTCTCAACAAGTGCCATACACCAGGCATGTTGAGTGACATGGTTTCCTCTCGAAGCGACAGCAGGTGAACACAACTGAAGCCTCTGCCATATTGATTTTGTGCACTTTTTTTTTTTTTAACTTTTCAGAAAACAAGCCAGAAAAAGGCAGACATTTCACAGCACAGATTGGTGCAATTTGTGCTAATGGCCTCAGCGTAGATGCAAGCAGCAGCTCGCTTCTCTTCGTGTGGAACAGTCAACAGGGACAAGTTCTGGTGAGACAACTGCTACCACAGCACACCTTGCCCCAGCCTAGCAACACCTCCTCCAGCAGCTTCATAACAAGCAGGACAAGAACTATGAGCAAAGGGGAAAAAGTCTGTGCTGGTTTGCAATGGTGTGCAAAAACCAGAAACAAGCAACTGTGAAACATGGTTGTAGTCTCTGCTGACCACATGCAAGTTGTTGTGCTTCCAAGATGTAGTCAAGTGCTCTTCCAGACAGCAGAACTACAGATGCCCTAAATCCCCCATCCCTGGCACTCCTCTGACAAGGCAAGTCACTTCCTTGGAGTCCTCAGGCACCACAGAGACAGGAAGGACACAAATTTCTAAATAGCAGCAAAACAGTACTACAGTTCTTTCCATTCCTCCAAAAGGCCTTCCAACCAGCCTCCTCTGAGCAGCTCCACTGCTTCAGCCGGGAAGACCTGCAAAAAGAGGTTTTGACAGAAGCAGAGACCCAGCATGGGAAACCAGAGCCAGAGTGGCACAAGTCAGAGGAGACTGTAAGCAGCAACATTATACTGGGTTTTGAGTTTAAAATATTCAGCAAGGTCAATGCAGAGCATGCAGCTATCTCCCGGCCTGTACACGCCCCAAGCTATAGGTACGGGCAGCACTATGCCAACGGCCCTCACCTCACCTGCGCCAGGTCCCCGCAGCAGTCACCAGCAGCTCCCAGCCCTAAGCACCCTCATTAGCAGAAGGTGGAGAGGACGCTTAACAATGATGTTATTGCCCCGAACAGCGGCATGCCTCATCCCTTCTCCTCAAGCCAGGATGAAAAGCCATGCATCGCCTTGGCATTGCAGGGAGCACTCGCCCTGCTCCTCGGTGCACGCCATCACCCAAGCCATGCGCCGGGACTGTCGCAGTAAGGGAGAACAGCAGCACTGATGCTACGCAGACTACGAAGAATGTATTTTTTAGCATGACCACACACACCAGGCCAACCCACACAGCAGATACTGGGGAAAGCAGGACAGCCCAAAGGGTTTCATGCTGAAGAGGGACCAGCTGCCAAGAAGAAAAGGTGGCTGGAACATGAGGGGGAGATCTCCCTGCACAGCAGCAGTGATTAACTGATACTGATAATGGCCTCTAGTACCTGAAATGAAGCATAAGGAAATGTCATGGAAAGGACTAATGCCAATCAGTAATAAAGACAGAGTCAGGGCTGTTGCTCAAATAAGAATTTATTTTTTTTGCCTAGGTTACTTGTTAAAAAAAAAAAAGTTTCCGCATGCAGGGACATCCTGTTCGCTGTATTAAATTAAAGGGATGATTCAAGAGGGAACAGCTTTCGGTAAGCAAGGGGGGAAAATCAATTTCAGGTTGCTACGGACAACTGGGCTGTCTCCTGTAAAACTAAATTGGATTCAGCTCTACGAACCTGAACGCTAAATGTTCCCTGAAATACAACATACACACGCTCTCTAAATAAATAAATACAATAAAATACAGTCTTGTGTCATCGCCTGTTTTTTTTGTGTTTTTTTTTTTTTTCTCTGAACTAAGGATGTGCTCAAACCAGCTAATTACTGCAAAATACAGGACTGGAGTTTTGGCTCAGCAGTAGCTTTCCTGACTTCCAGTTCAACACTGACTGCCGCCTTATGGGAAAAGATATTTAATGGCAGGGTGGCATTTGGCAAAATGAATCAGAGCAGCGCTTGGATTCACCATGCTCTGGGCCCTTTCATGTGCTCTGGGCTTGCAGTGAGATCTAAAACAATGTTCTGCTGATCAAAGCTCCTGCAGAGCTCAGCTAGCAAAGGCTGGAGAAAGCTCAGTCTGGGGCTTTCAAGTATGTTTTAGTTGATGCTGGATGGAGACAATTTAATATGCCCATGGTCCTTGAATAGCCTGAATAGAAACAACACCCTCCATCTGAGCAGCAGACCTGTGGCCACAGCAGCCAGGTAG